CGAAATAAAACAAATAAGACTTTTTCCAAAAGAAAAAATATTATCAGACATACCTTGAAAATTTCCTTACTCTGTTAACAAAATTTAGGAAATATTTACAAAAGAAAATATAATAAATAAAAGGTAAACTAATAATTCTGACTTCAACTGTATGTTGACATACGTGTGTCCAAAAAATGTAGGCTAAAGCATGTTTTTCCTACAAGTGTTGTAGTATTTAAAGCTTGTAATCTTAACAAATATTAAAGTGCCGCTATTAAATCTAAGGTTAAATCATTGTTTACTTTGTTAACTTAAATGTAGTGTGTATTGTAGCTGATTGATTGTGAATGTAAAACATCTGCAATGATGTGACAAAAGTGATGTTTTAGGGGATTTTGTTTTGACAATATATAAACTAGGGGTGTGCACCATGACTCATTTCATTAATGTTTAGATGAAATTTTTGTAACTGACTAGTCAGCTAGCTAGTGCAGATTAACCCTTTGATAGTCAAATATCATTGTCTAAAAAGAGCCAATTTAAAAATAGTCTTATAGAATCTGTGAATCTGACTGTAAAAGTTATACACAATGTGCTTTTCTTGAGTTATTATTATTGCAATTTATTATTTCCTTTTTTTAGTCAGGAGATCACATTGAGACAGCGCTGTCTCTTCTTCCAGTAAGATCTGGTCAAGACGGCAGGCAGCACATAAAGCTTCACACAAAAATCACAGTAAACAATACCACATAGTTACAAAATCATCATTCATAAAAAAGGTCAGATCATAACAAAACAATTACAAGTATTCTTTAAGACAGGGTTCAGAAGATGTTTAAATGCGCTCAGTCTGGAGTGTGTCAAGATCAAGTTGATTTTGCAGGTCTTTCCAAGTCCTATGAGCATAAAAGGAAAAAGCACATTTGCCAAGTTCTGACAAAACCCTTGGGACTGTTGACCGAATACAGGAACCAAATCTAGTGTGTTGATTATTTATATGTAATGTTAGCAAATAAGAAAGATAGGATGGTAGTTAAAAGAGCCTTTAAAGTATATAAGTACAAATGTAATTTTCTCCTTTGAAATAAAGATCTAAGGAATCGTACAAAATACAGTGATTCGTAAGTGAGTCTGCACCTGTGACAAAGTGAATTGCAGCATGATAAACAGAATCTAGTTTTCTAAGTAGAGTAGCAGCTGCATCCATATATAGATAATCACCATAATCAGATATAGACAAGAATGTACTCTCTACTAATTTCTTACGGCCTTATAAGGAAAACATTTTTTGGCCGGTTTAAGAAACCTAATTTTGGCCTAAGGTTTTTCAATAACTTGTCAATGTGTAAATCAAAATGTAGACTTCAGTATTCACTTTAAACTGATTTAGACTCAATAAAACTTACTCGGTGGTCTTGTTATTTTTAAATATACAATTCTTGTGTATTAAAAGCAGAGTTTGTTTAACTGCATAAAATCTACATCACAATTGCAATCATCTTCATGCATTTACTTAGTAAACAACACTCTTGCTTGCATGAGATTATTGAATTATAATAAATCAAATCAATTAATCACATTTTTGATTTCATAATTCGATCACAATTCAATTTGACACATTATTAGCTCATAATAACTGCATTTCTAACAGACCATCACTCAGTAAATTATATTTTGGAACCTCAAGATGAATTTTGGTGTGTTCTTTTTGTACTGTGAGTGGCATATTCAATAGTGTCAGGTCATAACATCAATACACCAATTATTACGTAGTAATAAGAGTTATTATAGACAAAAAGAAAAGTAAAGTTCGTAGACAAACTTCATGGTGGCTTGATGAAGCCTAGCCTGAATGTTTGAAGTAGTTTACTGTTTAAATAATTGAGGTAGTTTATAAGAAGTCTGAAACAGCTACCATAGATTGATAACTACATATAGATTAGCAGGTTTCTAGTATGCATTGGCATGTTTCTCGCTAGGTGGTTGCTAGGGGGTTCTGAGTAGTTGCTAAGGCATTGCTAGGCGGTTGCTAAGGTGTTGCCAGGTAATTGGATGTTCTGAATGGTTGCTTAGCGGTTGTCAAGGCATTGCTAGGGTGTTCTGAGTAGTTGCTAGTCCGTTGCTAGGGTGTTCTGCGTAGTTGCTTGGCAGTTGCTAAGACATTGCTAGGGTGTTCTAAATGGTTGCTAAGGCGTTACTAGGGTGTTCTAGGTGGTTTTTAAGATGTTGCTAAGATGTTCTGAGTGGTTGTTATGTAGTTGCTAAGGTGTTCCATGTCGTTGTTAAGTTGTTGCTAGGTGGCCCTAAGGTGTTTTGAGTGGTTGCTAGGTGATTGCTAAAGCATTGCTTGGTGGATGCTAAGGCATTGCTAAGTGGTTGCTATGGTGTTCTAGGTGGTTGATAAAGTGTTGCTAGGGTTTTCTGAGTGGTTGCTAGGCGATTGCCAAGGCATTGCTTTGTGGTTGCTAAGGTGTTTCTAGGTGGTTGCTGAGGTGTTCTGGGCCGTTGCTAAGGTATTGCTAGGTGGTTGCTTCGGTGTTCTGAGTGGTTGCTAGACAGTTGCAAAGGTGTTCCTAGGCAGTTGTTTCAAATTTATATATATATATATATATATATATATATATATATATATATATATATATTAGATGTCGCCTACCCTGTTGTTGTCTATTGGAAGGAATGCGTCAATAGAGCCACCATTTTAGTACAGGGTAGCGCTCCTTTGAAATGAAAGTGGGACCAAGCTGCAGTGAAGCACTGTGGCCATCCAAAGCAAGAGAAATACACATATATCTATGATCGGGATTTTTCCTGGAGGTCAGTATGCCATTTTTTTTTTTTTAAATGACGAAAATTATAATTTCACATCGCTTTTCTACGTTGCTGGATAAGTGATCGCACAGATATTCCTGACAAAAAGCTTGTGTTTGTGTTTATGGAAATGTACTATCCACCCTTTCTGTTAAATTTGATCCAATCCGTGTCCTGAAACACACCTCCTCTCCTGCTTTTACTTCTCATAGTCAGTGCAGTAAGAGACTGTATTATCATCTGTTACCTGTTTAGCACGAAAGTTCATAACATACAAAAAATGTAAAAAACTAAGTCTTAATTATGAATTGTTTTACTTTTGTTCTTTTTTTCTTTGTTTGCTCATTATTTCACCCGTAGACAGTGCTAAAGTCCAGCATCTTCATGTAGTAACACTGGATTAGTGCGGTTAAATGACATTTGTCCTGGGAGCACTGTACAAATGTGGCGGCGTTTGACGCATGCTTAGGGTCCCTATGCGATATCTAGTGCATATATCTATTGCATGGTTCTAGTATAAATTAGCATGCTGTTATCATGTTTCTAGTATAAACTAGCATGTTGTTGGCATGAATTTATTATGAATTAGCATGTTGCAAGTATGTTTATAGTATGAATTAGTATGTTGCTAGTATGTTTATAGTATGAATTAGTATGTTGCTAGTATGTTTTTAGAATGAATTAGCATGTTGCTTGTATGTTTATAGTATGAATTATAGTTTGTTGCTAGTATGTTTATAGTATGAATTAGCATGTTGCTAGTATGTTTATCCGCTTGTTAAGTGATGACGTGTTTGTAACGTATTTAATACTGTTTCCGGGTCCAAGCCGCCATTCACTTGAGTGGAGAAATCATTCGTTTATGATCACTTTTTATTCCTATCACACATTAAAGTTAATTTTACATAAAGTAATAGTGTACACAGCAATCTCTGGGCTTGCTGCATAACAAATACCAATATTTTAACAATTTATAAAACAATGAATTACTTTCTGGCCATCGGATATTAGGCATGGACATATATATTGCGATCGTTACTTTCGAAAGTATTAAATCGCTTTGTAAACATTTATTATTACCATTTTATGAATCTCCCCATTCAGTTGAATAGAGCGTTTGGACCCGGAAGCCGCTCCACGTGACGTCACACTTAACAAGCGGATAGTATGAATTAGCATGTTGCTACTTATTTCTAATTTGAATAAGCATGTTGCTAGTATGTTTATAGTATGGATTAGCATGATGCTAGTATGTTTATAGAATGAATTAGCATGTTGCTAGTATGTTTATAGTATGAATTAGCATGTTGCTAGGATGTTTATGGTATGCATTAGCATGCTGCTAGTATGCTTATAGAATGAATTAGCATGTTGCTAGTATGTTCTAGAATTAATTAGCATGTTTCTCGTATAATTAGTATGTTTGTTAGTATATTGCTAGTATTAATTGGTATGTTGTTAATGTGACCAATGTAAAGTCAATGGCAGTTTTTTTACAATGGAAGTCTATTACAATGGACAGTTGTTAGGGTGCCATAAGTGGTTGATAGGGTGTGGCTAAAGGTCATCAGTGATTGGCTTAGTGAAAGTTTGAGGTAAATGAGCCAAAACTTAAGTCTGTATGGCAGTTATGAGGTCAGAAAGTTTGGTCTAATGTTAGGTCCATGGGACATTTTCGCATTTTCTGGGTTAGTTTTCGGAAAACCGTTAGTCGGATCAGTTGGAGAAGATATAGCAACCTAATTCAGACCAGTTTGGTGGTTGTGGTATGAATGGTTTAGGAGGAGATGCATATAGAAATTAGTCTCAGAAGAAGAAGTTTATGTAGTATAACAGTATTCTGGCTTTCTCAAGCCACCATAATGAATATCAAACACCACACAGCTGAAAATCAAATATAGTAATGGTCATTGGTTTCAGTGTAAAAAGTAGACTAATCACAACAGAGCAGGATCAGATCTTTTAACTGTTTCAAGTAGAAAAGAGAAATGCATGCATGTTTGGATACACACAGACCTATTAAATGAAACAAAACAAACTCATGAATACTTAATATTGTGTAATAGTGGCACTTAACTTAGCAGTTGCTTTTGTGTTTCAGTAATGTCAATGTGTGTGACTGCTTGTGTTACTCTGTGGTGGTTTTAGGAGGATGACCGAGTGTTTCTCCATCTCTCTCTCTCTCTCTCTCTGTAAATAAACTGTAGGATTTGTCACTGTGAGGGGGATGATGAGAGTCCGCTGATAACACCGTGTCACTGCACTGGGAGTTTGCGCTTCGTCCATCAGGCATGCCTGCAGCAGTGGATCAAAAGCTCAGACACTCGCTGCTGTGAACTCTGCAAATATGACTTCATCATGGAGACCAAGCTCAAGCCGCTGCGCAAGGTAAGCTATATATAAATACATAGGTCTACCCACCCATGCTGCAAAATACACAGCATTGCAAACTCACTATGAAAAGGTAATTAAGCTTCGTCAAAGCTATCCTTGATACAACAGATTTTTAAAATTTTTTTTTTGATGAATTCTGTATATACAGTTATATACAGAATTATTAGCCCTCCTGAATTATTAGCCCCCTAGTATGTTTTTCCCAATTTCTTTTTAACAGAAAGATTTTTTTCAATACATTTCTAAACACAATAGTTGCAGTAACTTTTATTTTTGCCGTGATGACACTACATTTTATTACTAATAATAATGATAATAATAAATCCGCTTGTTAAGTGTGATGTCATGTGAAGCGCCTTCCGGGTCAAACTCTATGGGGAGACTCATCAAATGGTAATAATAAACGTTAATGAAGTTCTGTAATACTTTCAAAAATCACGATCGTAAAGTATATATTCATGCCTAATATCCAATGGCCAGAAAGTGATGAATCTTTTATAAATTGTTAAAATTTAGTTTTTTTGTGATGCAGCAAGTCCAGAGACTAATATGTACACTATGATTTTGAATAAAATTGTCTTTAAAGTTTGATTTGACTTTTTTTTGGCCTAAAAGTGGCCTTAAACGTAAGTAGCGGCTTGGACCAGGAAACAGTATTCCTTATGTCACCACTTAATAAGCGGACATCGCCTTTGATGGTGCATTTACACCAGACGCAGAAGAAGCATCAAGTGCTAGTGATTTACATGTTAGGTCAATGCAACGATGCAAATAGACAATCTGCCGCATGAGACGCGCGAATGAAGCGGCGAGAGTTGAGCGTTTCATGTGCTTAAAATGCGTATTGCGTGTTTCGTGCGAATTGCTCGAGTTTGAAAATTGCAACTTCAGTGGACATTCGCGCCGCATGAACCAGCGAGGAGCTTGCTATTGTGGGGTCGTGATTATGACTTGGCGCCTGTTGTTGGTGTTCCGAGGGGAAAACCCTAATGCCGACAGAGACAACAGTTCACGGCTGAAAGCTTCCATCATCCAGGTATAGTTTCTAGAGGAGTTTATGAGCTCACAGAGCTGGGTGCACCTCTGAAAGGATCTACTGGACTCAGACACGGCTCCAAACGAATCGACGCTGTTTTTTAGCCTTCATAAAGCACAAAAACACAGCTATTCTCTTAATAAAATCCATGTTAGCCATTTAGCAAGAAGCCCTGCCCATCACGCGAATCCGCGTCTGTTGTGAGGTAAATTTAACTTGCTAATGAAGCGGATTTGATGCATGAATCATAATCATAATTTGATGCATAAACTCAAAATGTTCACTCGTCTATTTATATGTGAATAGCGCGATTTATTTGTTCTTGCCACATCTGGTGTGAACACAGCATAAAAGTAGCATCTCAAAGCACTTTACAGACATAAAATGTGCAGCAGTAAAAAGACACAAGGATAAATGCAAAAAAAAAATGGAATAATAAAATAATTAATAATTAAAATTATTTTATAATCAAATAAAAGCTACTCTAAATAATCAGTTTTAAGAGATTATTTAAAAACACTCAGGAATACTGCATTGCGAATATCAGAAGGTAAAGAGTTCCACAATTTAGGTGCCAATAAAGAGAATGCCTGGTCTCACATAGATTTTAGTCGCGTTGACTGAGCAGTCAGCATCAGATGAGCGTGAAGAACGTGTAGGAGAGTATGGAATTAAAAGCTCAGATAAATATTGTGGTGATAGACCATTCAAGGCCTTGCACGCAAGCATGAGGATGTGCAGATTTTTCAAAATAGGGGTTATGTGCTCTTATGTGCACTGGTCCTAGTCAGAATTCTAGCTGCTAAATTTTGTATTTTAACTTGTTTAGGGTGGCTTTTAGAGCTGCAACCAGCAAAGCGTTATAATAATCAATACAGGAAAATACAATTGTGTTAACAAAATTTTCATAATATATTTTGTATTTAATCATTATATTTATTAGATGTTTTGTAGGATGCTAGTATTCATTTTAAAGTGCATTTTAAAGGCTTAATTAGGTTAATTAGGGGAGTTAGGGAAATCGGGCAAAGCATTGTATAATGATGGTTTGTTCTGTAGACAATAAAACAAAAATATTGTTTAAGGGACTAATAATACACTGTAAAACCAATAGTCAAATTTCTCAAATGAAATGAGTGTAGTTAACTCAAAATTGACTGAAAGTTAATTCTACTCATTTGAAAAGAGTTTTGAACTCAGTGTTGATGGTAATGAGTTAATTAAATACCTCATTACTTCAACTTAAATGGAGTGAGTTGACAGTGCTCATATAGATTAGTTTTCTTTTTTACTTACGTAAATGGTTTGTTGCAATCGGTTTCCTCAAATGGTTTGAGTTAACTTATTGGGTTTTACAGTACTCACCCAGTTTGTTTGAGTTTTCTTCATTTATTGTGTTTTACTGTGCTCAATTTGCTTCATTTACTCAAATAGATTACGTTCAAAGTACTCATTAGGATTAGTTTTTGAACTTAAATGGTTTGTTGCAATCAGTTTTCACAAATGATTTAAATTACCTTTACTTTTTGGGTTTTACAGTGTATTGACCTTAATTTTTTTATTTATTTATTTTTTATCCTAGCCGAAATAAAAAAAAATAAGACTTCCTCCGGATTAAAAAAATATATTTTTTAGGAAATGCTGTGAAAAAAATTCCTTGCACTGTAAACAACATTTGGGAAATTTTTGAAGTAGGAAAAATTAAACCTTTCATGACAGACGCAGCATGGTCAGTTTTGTTAAATGAGAACATTCTAGAGTGGAAGTGGCTTTTATTGAGTTTTTAATTGCGTTTAATCAAGGGTGTGAGATACTTAAGAAACTTTGCTTGATTAGTGTCCTTAAGCATTGTTTTGGGGGATTTAAACTTTTCGCAAGTGCAGTTGAAAGTGCTTGTACTTTTACTTGATTAAATGTTTTTGTGCTTATTTTATTTCAACTTGAAAATAACTTATTCCTGTCACATGCACATTTTATATGGTGAACCGAAGCTCAAACATGCAGAACAAATCACTTGTACTTTATACTATTGCTATTTACAGAGTATAGTTTTCCTCAATATCTGTATATTCTTTTAATTATGATATTTGAATACTTTTTTCCTCTATAGATTGGTAACATGCAAGCCTTTAATCAGCTAATATTACTATTTTTGTCAGTATTCTCTAAATGCTGTCTGAAATTTCTATCGAAAATTGATATTTTTCTCAGCCTTTTTTTTTTTTAATGTTGAGTTTTTTTACTTTAAAGACCATAAAAAGGGCTTTTTCTATGTCATTTGCCAAGTGATGTTACTAAACCTACACACAGAAGCCTCATAAATTCCCAATTCCAATTCTACCCCTTAGCTCTTCCCCTTACCCCTACCCCTTCACGGGAACGCGCAAATCGAGGGTGTCCCAATTCTCTTTAGCTTAAAGGTGTAGCGCTAAGGGGAAGGGGTGAATAACCCTTCGAACAAAGATTTTTCAGGACTCAAAACCAAGGGGCAAGAAAATTTCCCAGAATACACCTGCCACAACAGCAGTATTGCTAAACCCGGAAGTAAGGAGATCCACAAATAAGTATTTTTTGTCATTATTACCAATTTTTATGACAAACACGTTTCAATATATTCATAACCGCGTTTGTGTTTTACCGTCATGCTTTTTAAAAAGAAAAACGCTAATTTCGTGATCTATACTCCCTATTAATAACTCCTGTACAGCAGTCCCACAACATTCTGACACTGGAATACCCTGTCAGTAATGTATAGTGGCTGTCAATGGGCTTTTTACAGTGTCTGCAATAATGATAATGTTGTTTTTGGTGTGTTTACATGGATTAATATGGCCACTGTGTAAATACACAGTACAGTTACGATCTTATTGTCACATTAGATTGTTATGGTAATATATTATATGCCTTCAATGATTTCCTGAAGATAATCACCAAAAAATGACAATACTGGAATAACCACAGAAGTCGCGATCGTCTGATCTCACATGAAGCAGGAGATTGCGATGACATAGGATGACGTGTGCAGGTTCTGTAGTGTTGTCACAATTCTTAGGGGTAAATTTTGAAGCCCTTCACCCTCGGCCAAGGGGAAGGGGCAAGCATACAAAAATAGAATTGGGATTGGGCCTTTCTCTTTCTGGGCTTTTTAAAGAAGAGTTAAATATGGGAATTAAATTAAATAATTAAATTTTAATTAAATTTTCCTTCTGCCCAAAAAGTAATACAGTTCTTTATTTTAAACTGTAATGGCCCTCAGCAACAGAAGGATTTCTTATTCTTATTTAACAAACAATTAAAACAACAAAGATGTTTTTAAAAGAGACATTTAACACTTTTTACATGACACTGTTTCTTTTCAGTGTGTTCAAGCAAAAAAAAAAAGAAATCCATTATTTCACTCCTACTTTCCATGTGCACCACTGACAGGTCAAAATTGCTCCCTCTCCCTCTCTTGGTGCTGCTGAGAGATTGTGGGGCACTGGCCAAAGTTTGCGTATAAAGTAAATCAAAAACTTCTCTAAAGAAAATGAAAGCAGAATCCGGGATATGTTAGGCGATTTAGAAATCCTGGCTAAATGCATTTTTAAGTCCCAAAAAGACGACATATCCGGGAAAAAGAGGACGTATTTTTACCCTAAATAATGAGCTGGATCAGTCTATTTAGTAAAAGGCTTTTCTTTTCCGTGTGTCCTCGAGCTCTTTCCAAAGCTACTCAGAACATTTGTCCAGTGCGTCTCTGTAGGTCTGCAGCACCAGAGTATCCGAGTCTGTGGCAGAGTATTCTCACGCACACAGAACCAGGCAGCTGAGGTAAATTCTTATGTGTGGGAAGCGCTGGTGTTGAATTAGGTATCACACTGGATGCACCACGACATACCATGATCGACTTGAGGCTCGCACGATGTGCGCTATCTTGCCATTCGGTGCCTGGCGTTGCTTAGCAGCGTATACAAAACAA